GATTCCACTGAGGGCCCTGTCATGTCAGGGCCGTGATCATCCCCAATTTCCAGATGAAAACACGGAAGCTTAGGGCCCAGAAATGACTGGAGCATGCAGTGGAGCTGAATTCGAACCTAGGTCTTTTTAAAAAATTATTGCTGAGTTTGAGAGAGAGAGAGAGAGAGAAACGAATACATTGCATTTACATACTCCTCCGTTGTTTCTTATATGTACCCTGACCAGAGATGGAACGGGAAACTTTGATATATCAGAACGATGCTCTAACCAGCCCAGCTGCCCAGCCAGGGCCTCGAACCCAGATCTCAGTCACAATAATTGTAGCTTCTCCACCTGTCAATGCCTCTGTGTGCCTGACCTGTAGAAATGCTGGGGCTGGGGGCGCGGGGAGAAGAGGCTGAGAGGGAGCCTGTGGGAGCTGCCCCACCGCCGCCAGCTCTTTCAGAGAAGGGGTCTGGGGGCCGCAGGGCCCGGGCGGGAGCGGGGAAGGTGGCCTGGTGTGCCGGGCTCCGCCAGGGGCGGCCTGTGTGTGACTGAGCTCATCACTTGTCCTCTCTGTGGGGCTGGGAGGGCAAGCATTTGTCACACACAGCTCCCCAGACACTGCGAGAGCGCCCTGGGCAGACAGAGGCTGACTGCGATAGGGCCCCCACCACCGGCTGACTGTCCTGAGGCCTCCCAAGAAGCTTGGGAATCTGGAAAGGTCAAAACAAAGGCCAGAGGAGGGGGAGGATGGAGCCCCAGGAGCGAGCCCACAGGAACTTCCTGACCCGGCAGCGCAGCCAGCGCTGGGCAGGGCAGGGCCCCTCCGCTCCTGCCCCTCCACACAACAGCCCCGGGGTGGGGGAGGGGAGGCTGCCTTTGGGTCCCCCCTGCATGGGCCTAATTCCACTCACCTGTGAGGGGGGTGCCTGGTGAGGGATGCAGGGTGGAGCCCACTGAAGCAGGGCTTTGGGGACACAGCTTTCCCAAAATGGCCATTTTTCGACAGATCGAAATGTTTTGCTAATGACAGGTAGTATGCACGTGGGTGGCATTCATTTACTCATTTTTTAACCAAATATTTATGGAGTGTGTCCTGTACTCTGGACTCAAGAGACAGTGGCCCTGCAGTCAGGGTGCCAGCTAAGACAGACTGGAGGACAGGCCCCAGGGAGGGCACCGCCTGTATATGGACCCATTTCACCCTCCCAGCAGCCTGATGAGGGAGCCCTTCCTATTCCCATTCCACAGACAAGGAAACTGAGCATTAAGCAACTTGTACAAAACCCTAGCCCCGTGGTCGGCAAACTGCGGCTCTCAAGCCACATGCGGCTCTTTGGCCCCTTGAGTGTGGCTCTTCCACAAAATACCACGTGCGGGCGCGCATACAGTGCGACTGAAACTTCGTGGCCCATGCGCAGAAGTCGGTTTTTGGCCTGGGCAAGTCTGTTTTGAAGAAGTGCTGTTGATGTTTGGCTCTGTTGACTAATGAGTTTGCCGACCACTGCTCTAGACCGAAACCAGTTACCACCGTACAAGTCCTTACCTCTCACTCTGCCCCATGGGCAGGGCCTGGGGGTTACGGACAGGTGAGCATGTCTGTTGTGTGCATTAGTTGAAAAAAAACCACAAGGAGTCAGCTCTCAGTGTAATGGATTGGTTTCTAGGTCACAACAAAATGGCTTCACATCAAACAGGCTGCATCCAAAAATGTCACGAGGGTAAAATCCTTACTTAGAGGGAAACTGGGTGGCCATGGCCGGGAAGTCTACATTCTGACACTCTGGTGTTACTGGACACCCTTCAATAATTTTCCATTTACACTATGTGTGGCTATTAACTACTCACCCAAATCAATGAGCTATTTTCAAAAGACAAAAAGGCAAGGTGGGGGACGACTGGCTTACTTTCTTACTTTCTGGTCTTACTGGACACCCTTCAATGACTTTCACATTTCCATTCTGTACGGCTATTAACTACTCACCCAAATCAATTAACTATTTTCAGAGGACAAAAAGGCGTATTTTCAAAGGACAAAAAACCAGGGCGGGGGCTGGATGCTTACTTTCTGATCTTACTGGACATCCTTCAATGATTTTCAAATTTGTAGTGCGTGACTATTATCTTTTCTCCCAAACCAATTAGCTATTTTCAATGGACAAAAAGGCATATTTGTGGTTCAGGCCTTGATCCAGACCTGTACGGCTCCTAGTTTTGGGGGGAGCAGAGCTCGTCATGGGGCAGCAAGAGCACACACAGCGTGACAGACAGATGGCACAGACCACCCTGGCACCCTGGCAAAGAGAGTGAAGAAGAGAAAGCCCCACGAACCCAGGACTCCCCAGTCTTGTTACTTTGGGCATGTCACTTTGCCTTCTCTACTTTGCCGGGAGCTGTGACAATTAAGGGAAATGATAATTTAAACCTAGCTTAGTGCTTGGGGGTGGAGGGGAGGAAAACATTTCATTCTATTCTTTCAGGTTCTCTTGCTGGTCAAATTAACATAGGAAAGATCCACGGGAGAAAAACAAACTTAATTATGTACATACTGGGGCCCCCTAAGAATATGAAACCCAAGGAAAAGGGCAGTTCACAGGGTGAGAAGAGCAGATGTTTGATCTTTAGATATTTGTCCTGTCCTACAGAAAGCTCATTCAAATAAAAAGTCATCTCTCTTTCTAGGCCAGGCCCCCATCTGTATATTTTTAGGTAATTAAGGAAGAGGTAAACGTTTTTCTTGAGTCTGCTGGGTCTTGATTGCTCAAAATCATCCACATGCCACAGTGGCACATTTTGGGGGGGCTCATTCTAAACTGGGGGAGCTAGACCTGACACGGCTCTTCTCTCCTAGTCCCGGAGGCTGGGGAGGGACAGCAGATTGCCCTTGGGGAGTCAGGGGCAGAATTGGAGGAGAGCTTGCATGAGCGTAGTGAGGGTTCCGTGGGAGGCGGAAGGAGGAGGACAGAGAGTGGGCTGGAGGAGTAGGTGGGGGACAGGGGGTGGAATGGATGGGATTTGGGGAGTGTCTGAGTATCTGAGGTAGGTGAATGGTGGGGATGGTACTAATAGTACAGGGATGTGCTCAGAGCCGTGCCAGCTGGGAATGGTTTTTACATTTTCAAACGGTTGGGGAAAAGCAAAAGAATAATGTTTTGTGACGTGTGAAAATTAAATGGAATTCACATTTTAGTGTTCATAAATAAAGTTTTATTGGAACACAGCCATGATCATTCCCTTTACACATTGTCTTGATTTTATACTACGGCGGCAGAGTTTAGTAATTGAGACAGAGACCCTATGGGCGCCAAAGCCTAAAACATTCAGTCTGGTCCTTACAGACCATAGTTTGCCCACCCTTGGCGTAGAGGGAGCCTCGGGACAGGAGAGCAGTGAGGCTGGAGCAGGGTAGGGCCAGGTCGCCAGGGCCCCCCCTCTGGAGGTGCAGAGCTTAAGGAAGTGGAGCTATCCAGGGTTCAGGAAGGATGCCCTGTTCCCATGCATGTTGCAGAAGGGCCACTGTGGCTGCTCGGTTAGGGTGGACGCAGGTAGGCAATGGGCGCCTGGAGCCGGGAGACCAGTCCCGGCCAAGGCCCAGACTGCCCTTGAGGACTCCCTGCCCTGCCCCATGCACCTTCGCCCATAGCCTGCGGTGGTGCTGGGTGCGTACCCAGAGTGCCTTGCACATTTGGGCGGCGGCGCTGGGTGCGTACCCAGAGTGCCTTGCACATTGGGGCGGCGGTGCTGAGCTGAGTGCGTACCCAGAGTGCCTTGCACATTTGGGCGGCGGTGCTGGGTGCGTACCCAGAGTGCCTTGCACATTGGGGCGGCGGTGCTGAGCTGAGTGCGTACCCAGAGTGCCTTGCACATTTGGGCGGCGGTGCTGGGTGCGTACCCAGAGTGCCTTGCACATTTGGGCGGAAGTCACCGCTGGACGGAGTCTCCTGAACGCAAGGAACCGCAGGAAGGGCGGGAAGCGGGAGGAGGCGGCCTTGGCGCCCCCAACAGGAGCATCATGGGCGCTGGGAGAGCAGCCTGTGGCCCAGAGGACGAGAGGAGGCTCAAGAGGTGAGCGGGGCAGGCGGGCTGCCCACTCACGGCCGAGGGGGCGGGGTGGGAAGATCTGCGCCCGGGCGGCCGGCGGGGCCTGGGAGAGCTAGCACACGGGGCCTGTGGGCGCCTGCACGGGTGGAGGGGTCGGAAGGTGACAGCCAGGCCCAGGCCGCAGGCGGTGTGCGGCGGTCACCCCCAAGGGCACACAGACCGGTGCAGACAGAATAGCAGGCCCGGCGCTAGGCACGCAGCACAGCAAGTCCAGGCCTCTGCACGACGTCACAGCTGCGCGTACACCCCGTCACAGCCGCCAGGGCCAGGCGCGCACACAATACCACACCGGAGGCCTCTGCACACGGTCACACATGTGTGCACACAATCACGGTCCGCCTACAGCCGGTGTGCACAGCCGTGCACGCAGGAGCAGCCGGGGACACTGCAGGTCACACAGACCCATGCACACTGCACCCCACAGACGCTCGCATCCACGCAGACAGACCGGCTCACAGACCCGTGCACACGCCAGACGCGCACACTCTGACCCGCCCCGCCTCCATCGCACACACCGCCCGCCCCACAGGACGCACCGGGCGGGGGGCCGGCGCACGCACGGCCACAGGCAGGGGCGCGCTCACACTCACACATTGAACCGCACACGCGGGAGGCGCGGAGCGGCGGCGGCCCCAGACTTCGGCCCGAGACGCCCCCAGCCCGGCGCGGCTCGCAGCCCGACAGGCGGCGGCGGGGAGGGGGCTGAGTGGGGGCGGGGCGGGGGCCGAGCCGCCCGAGCCGGCGGGAGCGGGCACCTCTGTGCGCCGCGCTCGGCCTCGCCTCCGCACCCCCAGCGCGCCTCCCGCGGGGCCCTCCCCGCGCCTTCCGCTCGCCGGGTCCCCGCCGCGCCCCCGGGGTGCAGCTCGGCGGTCGCGCCGGGCCCGCGAGACGGGGTGGAGGTGGGGGCAGGGGGCGGGGATCAGGGCCGGGCCGGGGCCGCGCCGCCTGCGATGCCGGGCGCCCGCCGCAGCCGCCGCCGCCGGAACCCGGGATGGGGCGAGAGGCTGCGGCGGATGCCAGCATCTCCCCGCCGGGGGCCCCGGGGGCCGCGGAGCCGCCGCCGCCGCTGCTGCCACCGCTGCTGAGACCCGGCAGGCGATGGGTGAGTTGACCCTAGCGTCCTGGGGTCCCGTGCCGCAGCCCCTCCATCCCGCACCCCGGCCCTCCGCCTTCATCTCCGCGCCGCCGCCTCTGCGCTCGCGATCCCCCACCCCTGTCGCGGCTTCCACCGCCCCCTTCCCGAGCGTGACCTCTGGGGCCGGGCGGGAACCTCAGGCTGGGGGACTGGGGCCGGGAGGGGGGGCGAGATGGGGCGGGATGCGGGGGTTCTGGCGCCCCCGCTCCCAGCCGGCTGCTCAGCGGAGCTTTCCCGAGCCCCCGAGGGCAGAGCCTGATCCCTCCGACCCCTCCTTCCCCGCCCCCGGCGCGGGGCGTCCCCGAGGCACCGGGCTGGAGCCGTGCTTTGTGCCCTGCGACCCCCACAAACCTCCGGCGAGGCGCGGGGCGGGGAGTGAGAGGCCTTAGCGCCCGCCTCCCCCTGCCCCCCTCCCCCCCACCTGAGTCTGCGGCAGCGGAGGTGGAGGCCCAGGCGCAGTCGGGGTGCTGGGCGGGGGCGGGACTGTGGGGACCTAGGAGAGGGGAATGGGAAGAGAACCCCAGCCGCTGGGGGTGGGCTCCCGCATGTTGCACTGCACTGCCCCGGGCTGGGAAGGGAACCTGGCCGGGGGAGGGCGCTCTAAATATCTGCACACAGTGAGTTCTGGAACCTGGGGTGGGGAGGGGAGCGAGTCTGGGCGAGTGGGGGTGTGGGGAGTGCCTGAGCTGGGGAGCCAGGAGAAGCCGAGGTGGGTCTCCGCCGGCCTTGGTGGCCCGAGGTCGGGCGACTCTCCTAGCTCTGGAAGATGCCCGAAGGGGTGTGGGCAAGAACGCTACCCCAGGGAGACCCCTCCATGGTCCCCCAGAACTGGCGCTGTCCACATCCCCATAGCGCTCTCTTTCAGTCCTGGGACGCCAGTCGGGATCTGCCTGGATGGGGGAGTTTTGGGCTCTGGTGTGTCACCTCCAGGGGCAGTTACTAAAGATCCGGGCATGGGGCCAAGCTGAGGATGGAGGGAAGAGCGAGACGACTCCTCCCCCACCCCCAGCTGGCAATTCTGTGGAGTCATCAATGCTTCCCAGTGCTGGGGACAGAGCGCAGGGTCCTGGGAAAGTTGGAAAGAGGGGCTGCCAGCCCAAGGGGGAGAGCGAACTTTCTGGAAGAGATGATAACAGGAAGCTGGAGGAGTTCGATCACTGGATGGAGAACGTGGGAAGGGCATTCCGGCTGAGGGAATGGCATGAGCAAAGGCTTAGAGATGTGAGTGCCTGGTGTGTGTGGAGAGATGGAGGTGGGGGTGGTCAAGCTCTGCAAGTGGCCAGAAGGAGCCGAGGCCGGGGAGGAGGGCCAGGTGGGGAGGAGGCCGCGGGCCGCACCTGTTAGGAATGCTCTCAACAGCGCGGCAGGAATGAGACAAACACTCGAGACTGGGTGGCCAAGGCAGAGTGACTTCCGCGGAAGGGTGCTCCCGCCAGCTGGAGCCCGTGGGCAGAAGCACACCCAGCGGGAAGTCCGCTCGCTGGGGTTTTATTTCCTCACCCGGGCTCTGCCCTGCCCCTCACTCTGAACTCTCACCTGATTAGTCAGGGTTCAGAGCTCAGATTCCCATTATTGGGGAAAGTAAGGCAGGGCCTAAGATGGCAGCCCCCCTGAGAGCCTGAAGGTCATACCAAGATCGCAGAACCTCCGATGGCGGCGAGCTCCTTTCTTGGACAGAAGAGATGGCTGGGTCACTCTCACACCTGGCGCTGGAACTCTGTCCTGATGGCCGAGGGCGATGCTGGCTGGCTCCGCGCCCCCTTCTGAGGGTCTGCCCTGCTGCGGCCAGGGCTGCCCGACCCTCCCTGGGGATCCCTGCTCTGTGGTCATGGGACCAGCTTTCTGAGTCTCATTGTCCACGTCTGTCACATGCGGAGAGCCTTCCACGCGACGATGCGCCTGGCACCTGAGAAGCAGCTCGGGAAATGACCGGCTGCTGCGATGGTATTTTTACCTGTAAAACGAGGACATCGATGCCAGCTGGCAGGCCAGGCTCACGTCACCCGGTGGTGGTGAGGATCATGTGGGGCTGGATGTGACGGAGGGAGCCAGAGGCTGGGGGCGCTGAGTGCACGTCCTCCTTCTGGGAGGAGAGGAGAGAGCAGTGAGGAGCGGCTGGGGGCAGGGGAGTCCTCACAGACCTCCGCCTCTTGCCCCTCTGGGCCGCCACCACCTTCTGGCCCCCAGCCATGGCATTCAAGGGACCCTGCTGTGCTCTCCAAGGCCAAAGCCTCTTTGTTCCCCTTTCTGCTTGGCGCACCCCCTCCCAGCCAGCTCTAGTCCACCACGTGGGGACCAGGGCTCCTTTCCAGAAGTTTCTTCAGACATTCGGGTCAACAAACACGATGTCCTCCTGTGAGGGGCACTGTGCCAGGCGGCCAGGTGGAGAGGATGCACGCTGTGCCCTCAGGCTGTTAGAATCCAGTTGGGCAGCAGATACCACTGGGCGCCCACAGTGTGCCCAGCCCTGTGCTGTCTGCTGAGGGGCAAAGAGAGAGTCGCAGTCATTGCGCCAGGGGCGGTCAGACGTGGAGGATGGAGAAGGCTCCCAGATCCAGTGGCCCCGCTTCAGTCCTAGCCCTCCCACTCATTGTTGTGTGACTGTGACAAGTAACCCCGCCTCTTCCTGTCCGTTTCCTTGTCTGTAAGATGGGGACGGCACACACTATTGCTACTTGAACAGCTTGGTTCAGTTTCTGGTGGGTGTTCACTACTCTCCTTCTAGAATGAATCTATTCCCACCCCTCCTCCCTCAGAGACTGCCCAGCCTGCCCCAGTGCATGTGTAGTCCACATCCCTGTTGTCTCCTCCTCCTGTCTGTGGGTCCCCATAGGCAGGGGCCTGCCTTTCTGGGTCCGTGGCTTGGGCAGGGGCAGTGGTATGCTGGCAGCTGGCTCTCTGATGAGCAGTGTTGGCCCATCTCTGTGGTGTAAATCCGGCAGGGTCCGTTTCAAGCTGCCAACAGCTTAACGATCTCATAATGGAATCAGGTACAGGCTAGCTTCAGCACCCAGCATTTAGTAGGTGCTTAATAAATGATGGGTGAACAAGAAGGAGAGGCCTCAGGCACCGTCGGTCAGATGGATTTGGGGAGCTGCCAGCCATGCTGTACTGGAGAAGGGCGTTCAGGGGTTGGCATTAGGCAGGCGGAGGGTGGGGCCAGGGACCACCCCGAATAAGTACCTGAAGTGGGACTGAGATCGGAGGGAATGGAGGGCTGGTGTCTTCCTTCCCTGGGGCTCCACACCTCTAACCCCGCCTCACTCCTGCATTAGCCCCTTCTCCCAGGAACTCCCCTTGAGCTTGACCTGGCCTTGGGGCTTGCACAGAATGGTCTTGCTGGGCCCCAAGCTTTAGCTTAACAGAGCTCTGACATGTGGTCCAGAGAGGTCCCAAGACTCAACTTCTTTTCCTTCGCTTTTGCTGTTCCCTCTACCTGAGTGTCTCTTCCATCTGAGGCAGGATAGTAAGAAGCTGGGAAATGTTCTTGGCAAGTAGAATAATGGGGAAATGGAGACAGATAGAGGAACACCTGGCCTCCCTAGAGATAACATCCAGGCCTCAGCTGTATTTCCGCTCCAGGCCCAGAAAAGCCGCAAAGCCAGGTGGGTGATGCCAGGCCCAGCTGCAATGACTAATGACCCCCTGCCCTGGCACTGACCAATCAGTAGAAACCACGATCTTGAAAGTCACAACTGGAAAACGGAAGAATATTCTGCTGAAACTCTAAGACCTCCCCTAGAGTTCCCATCTGCAAGAGGGAGATAAAAGCCCTGGCCAGTGTGGCTCAGCTAGTTGGGCATTTTCTGCGCACCAAGAGGTTGCTGGTTCGAATCCAGTCAGGGCACTTGCCTGGGTTGCGGGCTTGATCTCTGGAGGGGGCATGCAGGAGGCAGCACTCTCACATTGATGTTTCTCTCTCTGTCCCTCTCCCTCTCTCTTTCAAAATCAATAAACTATTCTTTCTTAAAAAAGAGATAAAAACCTCAAAACAAAGGACCCAGAAGACCCAGGCATGCTCTCCCTCCCTCCTGGGAGCAAACTCATGCCTTTCCCTTTTCCTTCTTCCTCCACAGACACGCATCTCCTAAACTCTAAGGGACCCCACAAGCTGCACAACTAGGGGAGCAAAGGGCAGCAGCAGCTCTAATCGCCTGGACCTGTCTCCAGGGCCCCCTTTTCTCTGACTTCTCAGTGAGCCGAAGCAGCCCAGCCTAGGCTCTCCTGTTGCTTCTTCTATGCTAAGCCCTTCCTTGTTTTGGGGAGCTGCCTGCCTTCCCCACACTGGGGATCGAGCCTGGAACCTGGGCATGTGCCCCGACCAGGAATCAAACCTCAACCTCTTGGTTCATAAATTGGTGCTCAACCACTGAGCCCCACCAGCTGGGCCATAAAAATATTAATAAGTGCCCTGGCCAGTTTGGCTCAGTGAATAGAGCATCAGCCTGCAGACTGAAGGGTCCCAGGTTCAATTCTGGTCAAGGGCACATGCCCAGGTTGTGGGCTGGATCCCTGGTAGGGGGCATGCAGGAGATAGCCGATCAATGATTCTCATCATTGATGTTTCTATCTCTCTCCCTTTCCCTTCCTCTCTAAAATCAATAAATATATGTTAAAAAATATTAATAAAGCCCTGACTGGTTTGGCTCAGTGGATAGAGCGTCGGCCTGTGGACTGAAAGGTCCCAGGTTCGATTCCGATCAAGGGCATGTACCTTGGTTGCGGGCACATCCCCAGTAGGGGGCGTGCAGGAGGCAGCTGATCAATGTTTCTCATCAGTGTTTCTAACTATCTCCCTTCCTCTCTGTAAAAAATCAAAATATATTTTAAAAATATATTAATAAATAACATTTATTGCATCTCTACAGCAACCCACGACAAAGGCACCATGATAATCCTCTTTGCAGATGGGAAAGTTGAGGCACAGTGTCTTGTTAGCGCTGACCCATCCTTCCCGTCTGAGCTTG